GTGGGAATTTGTGTTTAACTCCGAACTGCCGCTTAACAAAGTAGGCGAGTAAAGGGTGTCTGTGGCCGCCCCAGCACGGCACGGTGCCGTCTCTCTGCCAAAATGGGTTCCGACTGGTCAAACCTTAGTAGCTCATTGTTTGCCAGGGAATTGCTGCCTAAGGTGGAATGGGTCCTGGCTGGAAGGCTGGCATGAGATACCGTCTACTGTAGTCGACTGGGTCCCACGCGTGGCTCCGGACTTCTGTCACCCAAAGCGTCAGTTCTAGAACTGCCATGCAAAGGGTGCTGTCTGGGGCGAATGTGGAAGTCAAGACAATCCCAGGGGTCAACAAGTTCCCTCCGATGGTTTGTATACACGGAGGGGGGATAAGAGAATGCAGATGGAAAAACGCCGCACCACCCACATTGCATTTCACTCTTTCGGTTTCAGTTAAGATTTACCTTTTTTCTGGTGTGCAGTTTTTAATAGCCCAAGTAGTAATTTATGCTGTGTTCCCAGAATACATACCATGCGGGAATAGACAAAGGTGGGCCTGATACCCAGTGCATTTTCTTAAATTTCTACCTAGGAGGCAATTACCCGGCGTGACCAGGCACTGTGCTGGGGACCTCGCAGTCCCTTATCTCAGTCAGTCCTCCAGCAAGCCTACGTGGTGATACTAATGCCATGGCTGTTTCCTGGGAGAGGCTATAGCAGCTCAGAAAGGATAGAAAACAGTGCAAGGTCACCACACAGCGAGATCAAAGCCTGAGCTGTCACCTCCACAGGCTCTCATTTGACTGGTGTTCACACATGGGGGTGATTTGGCTCCGGGGACATTTTTCAGGTGGGTGGTGGGTGAGTGCTGCTAGAATCTAGTGGCCAGTGACGCAGCTAAGCATATACTGCAATGCACACGTCGTCTCCGCAACAAAGAACCATCCTGGACCAAGATGCCAGTCGTGCTGAGGTTGAGAAACTGCTTTTCACCCCTAGAATTCTCCCTCGAGCTGGAGATGAGGCCAAATAGATCCTTTTCCCAGCTTGCTTTTGGCTCGAAGGGTGGAACCTTCTTACTTAGGCTCTGAATTTACTTCTTCCAATCTTGGAAGAAGTAAAATGTGTTAGAGCGACACCCTGAGAACTGATGTTTAAAGAAAGGAAAAGAAACTGATTTTAAATGAGGGCATGTGTTCTGGCATCGGACTAGGGACCTTTAAATCCATGATATTATTTATCCTTCCAAACAGCCCTTAGGCTTGGAGGACATCCACTTTCCCCGACTTCCCCTTTGAAATCATTGAAGACATTGAGCTGGGAAAGGGTAACATACTCAAGGTCACGTTGCTGAAAGATGGGGAGCCTGGATTCCAACCCGGGCCTCAGAGATTCCAAAGTCTCTACCTCCCACACTTGATATATTTTTCTTTTGAAAGAAACTAATAAAAGCTATGCTGAAGGTAAAGTAGAAAGCTTAAAGAGCAGCATTAAATAATTCCCTTACTTTTTAATGAAAAGGGTTGCTTTTTATACCCCATAAAGTAATCACCATGTACCATAGAAAGTTTATATTCATATATGGGAGTGTGGGTGAGTTGATTATAATAATGCTTTTTTTTTTTTTTTTTTTGCGGTAGGCAGGCCTCTCACTGTTGTGGCCTCTCCCATTGCGGAGCACAGGCTCCGGACACGCAGGCTCAGCGGCCACAGCCCACGGGCCCAGCCGCTCCGCGGCATGTGGGATGTTCCCGGACTGGGGCACGAACCCGTGTCCCTTGCATCGGCAGGCGGACTCTCAGCCACTGCGCCACCAGGGAAGCCCATAATGCTTTTTTTTAAAAACAATTCGCAAGGCACATTTATTATCCATTATCTCATTTGATCTTTTCAACAGTCCTATAAGGCTGCTGGGGGGCAAATGTTCTCATTTTACACCTGAAGAGCTGGGCCTCCGAGGGGGTAGGACTTGGTGAAAGGCCTTCCGCCATGCTGGCCCCGAGGTGGGGGGCCTTCGGTGCCCACGCTAAGGGCGCTGTCCCTGCAGCCCCAAGCTGGGTTGAAAATACTGATCTTCTTTCCTCACAAGCCCGGGTGACCTCGGTGAACTCTGACTCACTAAGGAATAAGCGACATAAACTCTTTTATGGGCAGTAACCATTTCCTGTGCCCTGTAAAAAGGGGCCCCTCACCCTGCCAGCTGCTTTCCCTTGGAAAGGGGGTACCGGCAGGGAGCGCGCGCAGCCTCCTGGGGGCCAGGTGGCGACCGGGCAGCCGTGACCTTGTAGTCCTCAGGGCTTCTCTGTGGGTTGAGAGTTCTGGGTGCCTCGTGCTGAGAAATGATGTCTGCCCGGAGGAAAGGGGCTGGTGGGCATTCGGTCCTAAGAGGAAAACTGGCCCACATGGTCATGTGACATTTATTGAATTGTTCCTTAGTACCCATTCGGCTCTCTGCATGCACAAGCTCATTTGATGCCCACAGCCCTCTGCGTCTGGGTTGTTCCCATTTTACAGGGCGGGAAAGTGAGGATCAGAAAGATGTAGGCTAGACAGACTTGAACTTGCTCAAGGTCACCCACAGTGAGCAGGGGAAGTAGGTTCTGAGCCCACCTCTCCCTGACTTCAAAGCCAGGCGTTCAGTCCTCACACCACCCTGCCTTCTAGTTTTTTGGGAAGTGGTGAGCAGAAGGTCTGGGCCAGCCGGCTGAGGAGGTGGGTCCTAGTTGGCCCCGGCAGGTCTGGCTTCCACTGAAATGGCCACTTTGAAACAGCCCTGCGGGCAAACCCTTGTGAAAGAATTTCAGGGAAGCCTCCGCCGCTGCCCACCCCACCCTTACCCACAGCCTGGAGGGCAGATGGGCTGGGCTCTGAGCTGCAGCCCCTTCAGGGTTAAACAGTAACCTGTCTACTGCTTGTAGTTGAGCAAATGCTGGCAAGGAACAAGCCCGGCCTTGAGCAAACAGGAGCCGTTGCCATGCCTCCTCCCTCCCCCAGCCACCCTTCTAGGGACCTGGAAGTTTTCTTGTACCTTGGAGTCCCCCATTTGGCTTCTTCGCTTAGGGCAGTTGCTGTAGAAAGCTCGATGGGAAAAGGTGCAGTTCCTGTGAAGGAGGAGAAGGCTCGACTTGGGTTGGTTTTCTCTGAGAGTGAGAATCAAAGAGATTTCTGGAAACGAACTTAAGAAGCAATTTACCTTCTTTAAATTTTTGCGTGGGGAAACTGAGGCCCAAGGTTGCTTCTGGTTTGGGTTATCCAGAGATAACCTCCTCATAACACCTACCCTCCTCCTCATAACGCCTACCATGCGGTCATGTCCGACTTTGTGCCAAGCGCTCGAGGTACAGAAACTCGTTTAAGCTCTAACCAATACACATGGTACGTATGACGACCTGTATTTTGCATAAGAGGAAACTGGGGTTCAGAGAGGTTAGTGACTTTTGTTCGACTTAGTACCAACTTTAGCAGGTAAGTGTGAGAGCGTGGGATAAACCCCCACTCTTTCTGACTTCGAAACTCGTCTCTATGGTACCACCACGTAGAATCCGGCGTTGCCATCTCTGCACCCTGTGGTCTGTTACAGTGTTCGCTATTCCCACCCCCTCTTTCCTTCCCCTGCCTTCTACTTAGGCCTAATTATTTGCCAAACAACCAGGATGATGATGTTAATAATCATGATAAATGTTCCTGTTTAGCCTAGTTCAACTCTTAATCACTGCTCTATCCCTGGTCCCTAAAACTGTGCCCAGCCCATTGCAAGGCTGATAAATATCTGTTGAATAAATGAATACATGAATGAATTTTTATGCCTTTTCCAGACCCCTCTTCTCCCCTCTCAAGCCCTACATAGAACCAGAGGAGCACCAGCTAAATTAGAGGAAAGGGTTTTGAGGGATGGAACCACTCTGGCTGGGCAGTTTGGGGGAGGTTGGTGACCCGTGAAGATGCAAGATTTCCCCCATACAGGCAGAAACATTTCCATGATCTGCTCCTCTTAAGCTAGACTCTTCTCCCTACCCGAACATTTAGGAAGAGCAGGTTACCCTTAGAGGCCCTGGGTAATGCTCAGTCATCCTCTGGAAACAAGCTGTTCATCCTTTGGATGACTGAACACACTTCTGGGGCTTTCAGTCTGAAAGGTGGAGGGCGCCTGCCTGGAGGGTTGGAGGATTGTAGATGCTGGACGACTGAGGTGAATATTTCTCAAGTGTAAAATTTTTACATGGTTTAAAAAACCCAAACAGGCTCATGGAAGAAAGCCTCTTCTCCTGGGTCCTTTACTGAGAAAATGAGCCCTCAGACTGAGAAAGTCAGCTTCAGATCAGCTTCGAAGCCTGCGGTATTCTCCAGGTCTCTAAAAGGAGAGGGAACGTGGGGCTGAATTTTTACCAGGAAGGAAGGGAAGGGGCAGTGTCTTGTCCCCAAAACCAACTGATTTCTAATATTATCGCGGAGCCAAATACTTGAAAAACTCTAGGTCAAATATGGCTGAGGTCCTCCAAGACGAGCCTATCCCCTGGCAGACGTTTGTGCTGAGGAAAGTTACTGGCTGCCCAGGTGTAGGCTGCTCAGATGTGTCGGGACTTGTGAATGTCTGATTTCAGGTCAGAGTTCCTGCACAGGTGCCGGGTCTGTTCTGCTACCCGTTTGGGTTTTCGTTGATTGAAATAAAAACCTCTTTGGTATTTTCACTTTTGTTAAAAAAAAAAAAAATTGGCTGCTGGCCAGACTCGCCCAGTGAGCAAGTATTCCATTTTCCTCCCGTTTCATTCCGATCAGAGATTATTCATTTGTGAATGGGTGGCTATAAAATCTTGCCTCATGCATATGAAAATCGAACCTGGACATTGTTAATTGCCAGTGAGTTTTGCTTTTACTGAAAGGGCTGTGGCAACATGCTTCGCAGGCGATGGATGGAAGGACCAAATTATTTCTTCCTTCCTACATTCACTCTATGATCTATACTCTCAAATGACGTTTGTCCGAGAGGCGCTGGCTGAACGGCCTGTTTGATCCCCTTACAGATCATGATTCTGGAAGGAAGTGGTGTGATGAATCTCACTCCCAGCAGCAATCTTCTCCACCAGCAGCCGGCCTGGACAGACACCTACCCCATGTGCAATGGTAAGGGGCCGCGCGGGGCCAGTGTCACTCCCCGTGGGGGTTCTTCCCCGGCTTTCATTAGGCTTCGCTTCCCAACTTAATGAAAAATACAGGTTTTATTCAGCCGGGGGGTGTGGGGACCAGGGAGACTGGAGAAAACTCTTCTTCATGCTGGAGGTCCTCACAGGCCCCCCAGAGCCCCAGCCAGAAGCCCATTTGAGATATTCCGTGGTTTTCTCCCAATATTCAAAGGTCCAGGTTGGTAGCCTGGCAGAGAGGGTGATAGAAGAGGCACCCCAAAGGAAGGCCAACTTTAATAGTGTTGGCTGGGATATCAAGATAGGATAGGATGGAAAACTGTGTGTGTGCGTGTGTGTGTGTGTGTGTGTGTGTGTGTGTGTGTGTGTGTGTGTGTG